CGTATTTGCATGATCTTGGGACTAAATCTAGATTTAGTTTTCGGATCCTGATCCTTAAAAAAAAAGGATGAGACAAATGTATACAAATGTCTACAAAAGCCTCTAATCCACAATGCAAAATTAATTTTGGAAATCTTATTTTTCGGATCCTGATCCTTCAAATTACTTGGTTTTGAGTGTTTTTTGCATGATTTTGGGACTAAGTCCAGATTCAGTTTTGGGATCCTTATCCTCCAAACCACCTGGTTTACAGCAAATTTGCATGATTTTGGGACTAAATCCAGATTCAGCTTTGGGATCCTTATCCTCCAAACCAGCTGGTTTACAGCGTATTTGCATGATCTTGGGACTAAATCTAGATTTAGTTTTCGGATCCTGCTCCTTTAAAAAAAGGATGAGACAAATGTATACAAATGTCTACAAAAGCCTCTAATCCACGATGCAAAACTAATTTTGGAAATCTTACTTTTCGGATCCTGATCCTCCAAACTACCTGGTTTTGAGTGTTTTTGCATGATTTTGGGACTAAATCCAGATTCAGTTTTGGGACCCTTATCCTCCAAACGAGCTGGTTTACAGCAAATTTGCATGATTTTGGGACTAAATCAAATTTCAGTTTTGGGATCCTTATCCTCCAAACCACCTGGTTTTCAGCGAATTTGCATGATCTTGGAACTAAATCAAATTTCAGTTTTGGGATCCTTATCCTCCAAACCAGCTGTTTTACAGCGAATTTGCATGATCTTGGGACTAAATCCAGATTCAGCTTTGGGATCCTTATCCTCCAAACCACCTGGTTTACAGTTTATTTGCATGATCTTGGGACTAAATCTAGATTCAGTTTTTGGATCGTGATCCTCCAAACCAGCTGGTTTACAGCGTATTTGCATGATCTTGGGACTAAATCTAGATTCAGTGTTCGGATCCTGATCCTGCAAAAAGAATAATGAGACACATGTCTACAAAAACGGCTAATCCACGATGCAAAATTAATTTTGGAAATCTTACTTTTCGGATCCTGATCCTCCAAACTACCTGGTCTTGAGTGTTTTTTGCATGATTTTGGGACTAAGTCCAGATTCAGTTTTGGGATCCTTATCCTCCAAACTACCTGGTTTACAGCGTATTTGCATGATCTTGGGACTAAATCTAGATTCAATTTGCGGATCCTGATCCTTAAAAAAAGGATGAGACAAATGTATACAAATGTCTACAAAAGCCTCTAATCCAGAATGCAAAATTAATTTTGGAAATCTTACTTTTCGGATCCTGATCCTTCAAACTATCTGGTTTTGATTGTTTTCGCATGATTTTGGGACCAAGTCCACATTCAGTTTTGGGATCCTTATCCTCCAAACCACCTGGTTTAAAGAGAATTTGCATCATTTTGGGACTAAATCCAGATTCAGTTTTGGGGTCCTTATCCTCCAAACTACCTGGTTTACAGCCGGGTTTTGCAGGTTCGATTGGTGAACATTTTTCATTTTTGTTTGCTAACTTAGTCGTCGACAGAATTCTGGACATGGTCAGTGGGTCATAAGTCATAAGGGTTGCCATAAATCATGCACTGTAGCCATGGCCAAAAGAATTATGGAAATATATCAATAGAAAAGTTGTCGCCCCTTTCAGGAAACAAATAATTATGGAAATGGTCGAGTGCCAAGAAGCACCCTCACATGGAAAAAAAATATATGGAAATTTAACTGCAGCACGTCACGCCCCTTTCAAAAAGGTTCGGTATACAAGGTATTGCCGATTTTTGAGGTGTGCATTTTTATCAGTAAAACAGAATTATGGAAAATACGGCCCCGGCGCGCCGCAGTTGTTTGCTTGCCCATGTCGAACCTTTTTTCCATTTCCAAAATTCTGTCGGGGCCTGTATATGGTTTTAAATACTGTCTATATATATATATATTTATTTATTTATTTATTTACTCATCCCATTATAGCCACATTTTCTGACCATAACGTGGCTGCTTCTCACAAAAAACGTCTCACTGGCCCAAAGAAACACGCCAGGCTACAGGTGCCTGAGACACGTTTTGCCCCAAGCACCAAAGACGAATCACGTTTTGGCGTGACGGCCAAAAGGGTTGCTGCACGTAGGGCTGACCGAGTCACTGAGTGATGTGTTAAACGATGATCTAACGGAGAGGTGTGCAGATCGAGTCATGGTTCGAGGTTATAGTAATGATGTTACCATGAGCAACCGTGAATCTGGATATATTTGGTCATGACCTCACATCGTAACGTCACTGAAATCATGGCAGGGTTTAGGGAATCATCCCCTTAGCTGGCCGTATGGTAACAACTATTTTTTTTGAAAAAAAAAATGCGCCAGGTGAATGCGTTGTAAGTGGAACGTGTTCCAACTTCGCTTTTGTTTCGGGAGGGGTGCCCCTATTTGTGGCCGGTTCGGCCAGGTGGTTCTCGGGCCTCATTGTTCATCATTTATAGACGCTGAAAAAGAAACTGGTTTTGTTCCTGAAGGCATTTCGGTTTTAGATTCCGATGCAAACCTGCCCCGCAGTGATGTTTGTTGGTTTATAATTATAAACTCCATTAACTAAATGGATATGATATAAATATATATATATATACATATTATTCACACACACACACATATATATATATATATGATATATCTACCGTAAGCCCAACAGCTACTGGAGTTGTACACAAACGTAGGTTACCTGGGGCGCAATGGGACCGCGCAGATGGGACCGCGCGTGGCGTGTTTTGCGACTTGGTTGGCAAACATCACCAGTGGGTCGATTTTGATGATATTTGTGCGTATCATGTATATATATATATATATATGTGATATGTATATATAGATATATGCACATACATATGCGATTATATATGTATGTATGTGTGTGTGTCCATCTATCCCATTTATCTATCTGTCAATCCATGTAATTATCCATGTATCATAATGTATCCATATACCAATCTATCTATCGATCTATCGATGCATTTACTGTATCTAATTTATACTTGAATTGCAAATGCACACGCGCACACACACACACAGCACACACGCCCACACACACACACATCAGCAACAGTGGGTCATTCGTAAACATTCGTTAGTGGGGAAAAGATGAGAATAAACTTGTGCCTCTCAAAGTAAGATTGTTGCACAAACAGTTCAAATAGTTTAGATTTTCTTTGTAAGTCCTGGTCAGTCACCACTTCAACTTTTCGGAACCTCAAAAAACAGGTGTGTTTTTGAGTTGATGTGTGTTTTCATCACACCCATTGCATACGAAAATTACGTAGCCACTGCCAAGTTTGACGTAGAGAGTAGTGACCATCAATGTGGAACAATGCGAATCAGTGAGCTTCGCTTTTTGTTTCCTGCAAGGAGTAACATCCCTTTGTTGAATATAGATTCTTTCTAGATATACGGTTGATTCAGGGATATCATCATTATCTATCACCCAACATCCAAGGGATGTTACCGCTTGATTAATATATAGTTCCTTCCCGTTTTTGCCGTTGTTTTTGCCCGACATATGGATACAGACAACATGTTCTGCATAATATCTAAGTTTGGCCTTATACAATGTGTCATATTCATTAACTGATTTAAATGGTGTACAACAATGATTTAACGAAATGCGCAATAAAATGGCACCCTGGTTATTGAACATAGCGGACTGGGAAATGACCATGTTCAATAGGTCAATCATCTATAACTGGTCCATTTTCCAGTTTGCAAATTCTTAGTTTACTGGAGGGTATACCATATACATCCATATACTATATACCCCATTATTGATGGTCAAATCCCATAGAAATCCCATAACCATCCCATCAAAATCCCATAAATCCATATAAATCCTCCACTTTCTATGGGCCATACCATAGCCATGCGCCTTGCTACTCTCACCCGAGGTCGCCAAAACCCTGAGGCGCCCCAGTTCGTTAGCTAAGTGATTTTATAAGTCTAATAACTATATGGTTTATAGGTGATATATCTATAGTTACAGTAATGGGATTATAAACCATTTATAACTGGGGGCACCACCTTGTATGGCTGAGTAATGTTGAGTAGTCGTGTTGTTTTCTGGCGCCATTCCACAATTTGTGGAGGGAGAAGTCCTGAGATCATCCCATAATTTCTGCTGGGCTTGGCGCTCTTGGAGAGCGCCACACTTTGGTGCAGCATTTTTTTTAGTTTTCGGACATGAACATTGACCTAATACTTCCGGGTATTGGCAATGTGCTAAACCCAGTTTCACCTGAAATGGGTGCTAAACAGCCATCCTCAATACAAGGTTTATTTCAACACATGAACATCATGAACAGAATTTGTCACATTTATCCTTAATCAGCATGTCTTTGCCAATTGTTGTTTTTATAGTTTGGATTGGCGACTTGGAATGATTGTTAAAAATACTCTGCATTGATATTCCCTGCCTTCGTGTTGGGAAATAGACACAGACCGAAATTATCGGTCATATAATCATTTGCCGATGTCAGCAGAAATTTGTGAAATAAATTGAGCTGCTAGTGTTAGAAACACTATCTCCCCATATCTCACCGAATCTGTTCTACGGTGTTGCCCGCCAAAAATAACTACATTTTTTTGCCTGTTTGATTTATTACTGACCTTGTGCAAAGTATGCATGGGTCAGATGATGCAAATTGATTGGAGGGAGTGTTCCAGGAAATTAGGTTTGTGATGGTTTGTGCATGTTCAAGTCTGAATGTACCCCCTTGGTACTTCCCTTTGGCATTCTGATTTGGCAGTAGAAATCAATCTTGGAGACCACCCCGCATTATCTTCCCCATCCATTGACTGCAGATATATCTGCCATAAATCCTAGCTATTGGCATTGGAATAGGGAGACACTTTGCTAACTATGGGGCACCACAAAAGCGTGTTTTGGCGTTCCTGGTGTGTGAGCCACGGCTTTCTCTGCAGCTCGTGGCTCATAGATCGCAGGGGGGGGCCTAGGCGGGGGCCGCAGATTTTGGTGAACGCAGCCATGGGTTACTTGGTTCCCTTAGTGTTGACTTGGTGAGAAAATCTTTGGATCCCAAGATCCATGGAGCCATGTGGCAATTCATGGAGCCTTTTTTAGTGGCAGTTTAAACATGTTTAAACCAAACAAAAAAGAAACAAGTTTTGGTGGAGAGACTTGGATAGATGCTGGCCAAAAACTCCCAATGTTTTGCTGTGAACAAATATACTTATTGTCCGTATAGTTGCATATATATATAATCTATGGATGTCAACGGAGACATGACATCATTGGATCTACAGGCCATTTGGGGCTTTCTGAAATTGGCCTCAGATCATGTCTGGGAGAAAAGGCAACACCAACCATAGCTCAACCATCTATTGATATCTATTGAGCCGCGTCCGTTCAAACCCCTTGTGTTCATGTTTGGGGTTTGGGCCCCCCTTATAAGGCTGTGACCTAGGCGGCCTAAGACAACGGTTCCAGCCGGCCGCCGAGGTTTGCTACGTTCCGAGCAGATGAAATATGGCCTGCCACTTGTTGAAATCAAGCGGCGTGAACAGCTGACATTGTGGAAATCTGAAGGGGTGCTCTCCACATTGGGTTATCCAAATTCGACCTGGGATATCAATCAGGGTTGTAATCAGCATTGAGACTTCAAACTGCGAAGATGGAGGTTGCATTACAGGATTTGTGCTGTAATTTAAACGTTTCAGTTCTTACGGGGTGATGATATAGTTTATTGACTAAACATACTCCACTTGCAACCCCATTTGGGGGTGGCGGCGTGGCGGTATTCAAATGATTAAACCGCAGCATTTCATCGAACCACCACCGAGTTCTTGCATTGATAAGTTTTATATTCTCCAACTAAGAATGGGAATTTCTATTGCCAGGTGAGATTACTAACTGGTATCCTGCAGTCATGTTATACCTTCCCTTTGCCACACGTTTTTAATGTTTTTTTCAAAATATTACAGATATGACTAGCGTTAATCTTGGAATATATTGGATCACAACTTCTGAACCATTTCTTTGCCATGGGAAGCTCCCTTGAGTTCCTATATACCCTCTGGTAAACTGTCACATAACTATAGAAAATCACAATTTTTCATATTTGTTTCATGGGTAAATCGGTAAATCAACTATTTCTATGGCCATTTTCAACAGCTTTTGTATGTTTACCGGGCCGGGTAAGTTACTTGGCGCCGGGCCAAGGTTGGTCTTGCCGGTGAACGAGGCGCATCGCATTGTGTCGCGGCTTGGGAAGGATGCCACGCTTCAGTGTCTCGGCGAGCTCTATAGTTAGATGCTTGAGGGATCCACGGATCGGCGAAATAAGGTTGGATTATTATGGCTTTATTACCCTAGCACTAGTAAATAAACAGTTGGCCCCTGAAAATAAGCAATGTTTAATGGAAACTAATCTTCCAACCCCTATCTGGAAGGGTCTATGTTAATTTACTGGAGGGTACTTTCTAATTAAGGTTTATTACTAGTAATGATTGGGTTATTTAATTATAATCAGATAATAATCCAAGCATGAATATGATAATACCTTTAATATACGTAGTTTGGGACTTTTTTAACTTTTTTGGGACAGGTTTAATTCATGGGACTTTTCAATCATTGTTTGGGTTAGTGGCACTTTTCCATGGCTTTGCTAAATGATCGGAGAGGGAACTTGACAAAACCACTAAATGGCAAAGGAAATGTCAGGCAGATTGATTACTTTACCCTGTGGGCACTGGGGTTTTCGCAGCCAGGTCGCCATACCATTGGTTAAGGTCACCGTCACAACATGTCACAGCCAGATTAGTCCCATCCCCCTAATATTAAACGCCCCCTTTTGTATTGTCTCAAAAATAGGTGTAAAACCCCCTACTAAACCATGGTCTCTAGAAATTCTAGGTGATGTTTAATATTGGGGGGAATGGAAGGATTAATACCGCCTTTACGGCCTTTACGCTCTTTTTTTTGAAGGCACTGTTTGATCTTATCGTTACATATCGTTACAAGTTTGAGTCAAAGGCTTGATTCTTCTGGGAAGAAGCCATATTACCTCAATTCGAAGCTACAGGTGCTGTACAAAACAAGTATATAGACAGGGTTAAACATATATACATAAACACACACAAACATACATGCATATATATATAATACATATATATATGTGTGTGTGTGTGTATGCGCAACATTCTGGCTAAGTACCATGAACTTCAACACAATATGTGTTGTCCGATGATAGGTTTAAGCGGAAAAAATATCACGTTGGACCTATATATTTAAGGATGAAAAACACTGGTTTCCCTTGCGCCTATAGCTATTCATCCAATGACTTTACTGATACCCAGGTTTAATCTACTAGTACCAATATCAAGGTTTATAGCATCTCGTTTTCGCATGTTTTCCCCATTGCCCTCTGGTTATTTAACATAGCCATGGGAAATTGCCCATTTATAGATGATTTTCCCATTAAAACCTCCATTTATGAGGGATTTTCCATGGCTATGTTAAATAACCAGATGGTATACATCATCAAGTCGGGGCTGATAACATCAGGTTCGAGGATGACAACGCTCGCGACATGAAGCGGCCCTACCGAAAGCACATCCAGCGTATTGAAGCTGTGCTGGGAAAAAACACGTAAAAAAACTCATTGAAATCGGGTTTTTACCTGCCATGGGATAACATATACTGTAGATGTTTTTAACCACTGAGAAAGGGTTGTTTAAGGAGCAAAATTCCGGATTTCATCAACACATTTGGGATTTTTGTTTGCAACGACGAAAATGAACTACAAGGCCCACCTTGCAGTCAGCTAACGTGCATGGCTGCAGAATCCCTTATTCCATTGCAAGGTAGCAAAACGGTATCCTTAACGTTTGGCCCTCAAGACTAGGAACAGCCAAATAGCATCCACATGGCACTATATGGCAATATTGCTTGAACAGTCTTGGGGCATCCTCAAAAGATTTGGGTGAGGGGCTTACTGTAATGAAAACGGTGCAATGCGTTTCCTAAGTAAAATCCATTCAGATATGTCTAAACAATCTATAAGTTTGAGATGAAACTTTGGTCCAGAAAGCATTAGAAAACGCCTTTAGTTGACACGTGACACCTTTGAAGTTTCGGTTCCGGACTTGCTGTGAGTGGCCAGACTTGTGTTGTGGCTTGCGGCCACGCACGTGTCTAAGGAGTACACTAAATGGTTTTGATAGTTTTAAGCTGAGGGGAAAGTCAACTTTAAAATGGTTTGTTCACAAAAAAGGATTTAAATCAGCATGAAATGGGGATATAAACAATAGTATAAGTCAGCTTGGTCGCGTAAAATAGATTTTATGTTCCATCTTTAAACTGGGATAATGACCTCTGAAATAAATACAGATATTCCACACGTGCGTGGCTCTTCCACCAACCAGCCATGTTTGTCCACCAGTATTTTGGGCCCAAGCCACTCAGAAGCAGCCGTCTGTCGTCATGACGACAAGTGCCAGCCAATCCACTGGCAGCGAAGAAATGAAAGAAGAAGCAGCACTGATCCGAAGCCGTTTCATGGATGCGATGAATGCCAGTTTTTGAAAAAAAAAAGGAAGTAGATGGAAATGGTGGGAATGTTTGCTGATCCAGGTTGCTAGTATAGATAGTATAGATATCATCTGATTGATTTGCAGTGGACTTTCTGGTTTCCCAATTTGCACATCTACTATTTAATGCAACTGATGAAAATATGCGTTATTTGTTTTGAACCCCAAAAATATACAGTTTATTTGTTTCAACAAATGGTCGTTTGGGCTTGCATTTTCGCAAAACATGCTGTTTTGCAGAATCCATTTAATGTTTCATGTCTCCTTGCATATCCCTGTGTATATATATAATATATATATATATGGTTGGTGGTTTCAAACATTTTTCATTGTTCATAATAGCTGGGATAATCCTTCCCATTGACTATTTTTTTCAAGATGGTTAAAACATGTTAAAACCACCAACCATATATATATAAATACACATAATCATTTGAATATTATATGTTTGTTACCATATGGCCAAATTTGAGGTGAGAAACGGGAACCTAGAGGATCATCCCGCGGTTTCCAGAGGGTCCCGTTCCGTGGGGTCCATGGGTTCCGTGGGGCCGGCAAGCCTGGTGAGTAAGCCACCCTTTTCATGGGTTATGCCAAATATACCCTCTGGTAAACTAACATAACTATGAAAAACCACCACTTTTAATGGAACATTCAACTATAAATGGCCATTCTCAATAGCTATGTTAGGGTAAATGGCCCCTCACTCTCTGGTGAACTAACATAGCTGGGAAATCATCATTTGAAGAGGTAAACCGTCTATAAATGGGACATGTTCCATGCTATGTTAATTTACTGGAGGGTATCCTTGGCGGTTTCTTGAAATAGAGGATCCCCAAAACCATAAGTTGTAATACTAAGTCTACTTTTGGATGATTTGGGGGTACCCCCACTGTAGGAACCCACTTGTGTTCACATCCCCATCATCCCTGGGTTTGACATGTTCATCACCTCAAGGTTTCCGCGCTCCCAGCCAGTGGATCATGTGCTTCGGCTGGTGCCTTGCCGCTTGCGCCGGAGCCGCCAACGTGGTGGCCTTCAAGAGCTGGAAGCTTTACGCGAGCCACGTCACGGGGAGTACCTCCAACATGGCCTTCCAAATCGAACGATATCATGCGGGGGAGACGTCACTTGAACTGTGCTTAGTTACTGTAGGATTTGTGGAGGTAAATACCCTGAAAAAAGATAGGACATGGCTGTGGTTTAGTAATATAGTATATAGTAATGTACTTTTTGATTTTCGATGTTATTGGTGCTATATTTTTTCTTTTGGGGCGGGGCGGGGGTTATCTTTGCGCTGTGTTTCATACTGTGGCACAGGATGGCTAAAGAAGGATCATTTGATGGGAATAAGCACTCAGGTTTTATTATATAGGTTTCCATGTTTTTGTTTGTTACAAGGTGGTGCCCCCCCAGTTATAAACGGGTTATAGTCCCATTAACTACAGATATATCACCTATAAACTATAGTTATTGGACTTATAAACCAACTTGGCCAACGAACTGGGACACCACCCTGTAGGGATTTAGTTTAGGCAAAGGTCGGGATGCCAATAGCATCGAGACGGATGTCAGAGATATCCCCACAGTCATCAGAAATGGGGGCTCTAAACCATCCCCAACTGGTAGGTTTATTGTTGGGTTTCCCACATTGATGATGGTTGTTTGAACATGAAACCCCAGCAGGTTCGCGAAATCTAAGGTCTGAGAGTTTACAGGAGGCTTGTTGGCTTGTTTTCTCCTTCCTCCTTGGTGCTTACGCATGCGCCTGGGCTCAAGTTGACGTGTGGCTGCCGGACTTGGGGGCCTATGAGTCTTACTCAAGTTACTCAAGTGGAAACTCAAGTGTGGTGCACCCAGCTGCAACTAGAACTTTGACTTGTTTCAGTATTCAGTATTCAGTATGACTAGTCAACTATAATAGGTATGCACTTTGCATTTGGTGAATTTTTCTGTCAGTGGACTCAGTGAACGCTTTCCAGGTGGACTTTTGATTGATCACAACTACGTGCACCTGGGTAAAACCTTCTACGGATTTGCCCTGCTCCTGACCTCCACACTACTGCTATTGTCGTCCTTTCTGGGAGGCTGCAGCATGCTGCAGCTCATCGGAGATCGGAAGCCATGAAAGTTGGACCCAGGTTTTTTTCCTTCCAATTTTTCGACGTTGCGCTGGAGCTGGAGAAAAGATACTAGGAGCTTTGGGTATATCCATATTCCATCATATTCCATCATATTCCATATTAAGGGGCGAAGGAGCCTGAAGGAGACACACATTAAGTTTCCCAACCATTTGACAGAAAAGTTGTGGCTTACTGTAGTGCATAGATAGTCGTTAACTGTCGTGACTTTGTGTCCCAGCATGGCTCGCGATCTTGGGTGGGTTTCAATCATTGATGGTGAAAATATGCATCTTTGCCCTTCCCTCTCCGCTAATCAAAAAAAATTGCAATGGGAAATCCAGGCATTTAGTGGGAAATTCATCATAAATCAATATAAATCATCTAAAATTAGTTGGGCAACTGTTTTTCATTACCAAACGGTAACATATTTTGAGCATCGCTTCATCGTGGCCATAATTACTCCGGGCCATTGCCTGACAGGCCGATTGCTTCCAGCGTGCCTTGTGGCCGCCGCCTGTGGCTTGCAGAATGCCATGTGCACCTCCCATTTCGGTGGCATCGTTCGCACCAGTCACGTGACCGGCACGGTAACGGACCTGGGGTCGATCCTGGGCAGGATCAGCATGATCTACTTGCGGAAGAGCTGGGGACAGAGACAGCTGAATGAGATTGAAGCTGGGGTGCTGCTTTCATGCCAGTTTTTGGTGGTTTGGATACCATAGTTTCTTGTGGTTTCAGTGTGTTTCTTCCTGCGATTTTTTCTTGGGTGGCTGCTTTGTCAAGATAATGGATACACAATTGGTATTCAGATGTTTTATGCAACACGCCGGGACCCAAAGTATTGGAGATATGACTGACTCCTTTTTTATACCTATCAATTACGGTGAGATACTGATATAGATTATGATGATTATATATGGTGCATATCTATCAATTTATATAGGGTTGCAGCACTTTACCGCCATGATCAGTTCCCATCACCAAGGAACAAGCCGAGCTGCTGGTGGATTATCAGAAGCTGACCGTCCTTTCTGGACTCTGGAGCCCCGCGGATGTAAAGCTGGATGTCCAGTAGATACACCGGAAACGATGGGGGAAAATCCCATGGAAAAATCACCCGTTTTCAATACTCAAAGTGCCAAGAAATGAGGCATTCTCCCACCAGCCACGTGTTTTACAGACTTGGATAGATTTTGCAGTTTTGAACATACTCAAATAAACTCAAATATCACTCGTGAGCTCCCATGTTGCTATTTCTTTATTTTGTGAACCAAAATCACCCAAGTCTTTCTATATCATCTGAAATCCCTAGTCTTGTTGGCAGAGAATCCAAATTGTCCTTCTGGGCCCTCAGGTTGCTACTTCCTAGGGGGACTCGGGGGTGTTTACATGGAAAACTTCATCACTGCAGCACCTCAGCGTGTGCTGTTGCTGCCGGCTGCGGGTACTGGGCTGCTGGGTTTGATGCCTTGCAAGCAGGTGCTGATGGAGTACCACCAGGTGCGATGAAAATTGAGATGAGTTAAGCAGCAAGCATGGTGATAGATAAAAATGATGATATGTTATGGCGGAAAAAATATGCCATGTCATGGTGATTTGTTGCCAGGACTTATCGGGTATGATGCCATCGGATAAACACCCCAATTGGTTTTGCAGACAATACGGCCGAAGCTTAAGCAGCGATTCTTCGGGGTCCCTGTCGGCATTCCCATCTGAGGCTTGGTCCATAATTCGTACAAGGCTTTGGTCAGCACGAAAGTTGTGGCGTGTCTGACCCAAATTCGTATCCCTTGAGGGTTTGGGCGAAACCGAAGGTCTCGAGTCTGGAGGGGCAACTTAAAATCTATCCTTTAGCCTTGCTATATAGGTAATATCTGGTGGAGGGCAAGCTGCCAAGCTTACCTGGTTTTTTATTTTTGTGCTGATGGTGGGGGATGTTGCAGCCCTGCGACCTGGCAGGAGGCTGTGGAGTCAAAAATGAAGCGCGCGAGAGAAGCGTTACTTGGTGAGCAAAGGCGCAAAGGTGAATGGCTCTGAGGTGAATGGGGTTGTACCCTCTGGGAAACTGTCACCGAACTATGGAAAATCTCTATTTTTTTCATGGGTAAATCAACTATTTCTATGGCCATTTTCAGTAGCTTTTTGTATGTTTACCAGGCCGGGTAGAGTATTCCACCTTTTTCATTGGCATTTTGCTATTCACGTCATCATGAAAGACCATCTTAGACCTACTTCCCGGCCATGAAGAGAGGAACCATCCCCAGCAACAACGCGAATCCATGGCAGTCCTTCGTCAGCATCCCAGTTAGAGCGGCGTATAGCGCTAGAGCCTGTTTCCTAAATCACAATGCATGGAGATGGGCATGTTGCAATCGTCCAAGTACGTTTCCATATGACATGCCAAGTGTTACCACGTGACCTACCACGTGACCTGATAATCCCACAATCATCCCATCCCGCCACTGGCTCTTCCCCATCCATGACCATGGGATGATAGACAAATCATCTCAAACCAATCCCACAATGATATCCCATCGCGCATACCGCATACCCCTTGAAGAATTTGTTATAACCGTGGAGAATTCCTCAGTGCTGAATGATTTACCATGATTTACCTACAACATGTATCATTATTTGGACTTTCTATGTTTCACAAGCAGATGGTAAGTCTCATACTTTCATCCCATGGCTTGTCATTACCTTCACTCCATGGTCGTGGCAGGTACCTAAACTGGAGGTACTGTACCATACATGTATTTTTTATCTTTTTTTTTGTGGAGGTATATCCCCTTACACAGCCCTTACATAGACCTTAAAAAATATGGTGGGTAGCTCCAAAAAATCGGTTCCTGCATGGCCACTGATCTACCAGGCTCAGCGACTTGCGCCAGCGGCTGCAGCGCCTTCAACGTGACGGCGCGCGTTTCAGTGAGACGGAGGAGGGACAGTGGCTGGGGCTGAAGATGGCAAGAGTATCATGTCAATGGCCATTCCAGGAACCCAAATTCGAGGTACCTACCATATATAAGGCCTATGTAAGGGCTATGTAAGGGGATATACCCCACCAAAGATGGCCTGAAAAATGGTACAGTACCTCCATTTCAGGATCCTGGATTTCCCATTGATCGTGGGGATATTCCATGGTATCTCATGGGAAATAGAGGTTTCCTAAGTCATGTGCCTAAATCATCCATTTTCATAGTCCAGTATAAAGAATTTATTTGGCGGATTTCCCGTTTACGGAACCCCCCCATATATATGATTATGACATTATTGTGATAGAATCTGATATATATATATATATATCATTGGAGATGTTCCTCCGCGGTGCTTGCTATTTTGGATTTTCTTGTAAAGTCGTAATGATTGTTTTTCTTTGTTCATGGGATATATCCCAGGATCACTGCCGGATCGTACCTGCATGTACTGTTTATGACAGATGACCCAGGAAAGGGACGGACCAGAGATGGCTATCACAGGCCAGGGTGCGTTTCACCCTCTGGCATCATCAAACGTAGTGTGCTGGAACATCCACTATTTCGTGTAAAATTTAGTGCGATGATGTGCGATGATTTTCTGGAAACCAGGAGTGATACCCCAAATAATGCACATGGAATGGCTGACATTGTTTCAAAAACGTTGGCTTTGGGGGTAGCATGCATTCACACAAAGCAATCATATGTCTAATCATTCCAACCAGTACTAGCCTATTTCACTGCTCGTTTGGGATGTAATGTGGTAACCATACTTATCATGACAAGTGGACTGATCCAATTAGGTCATTAGGTCATCAAAATTATAGGCGGGACGATCCTCCAAGTGGGTCTCCAGTTGTTTGACAACAGCGTTGAAAACCCAAAAAAACAAGCGTCTGTCGAATCATGTCGACCACATCATTCGTCATTCGAGGCCCTAAGGCGCGTGTCGCTGCTGAGTGGCGAAAACATGATCGCTGGGCTGGGTTCGGGGCCGTCCGTAGGGTGGCGAAGCCTTGCATCCTGCCCGGAACCATAATTAGGGTTCTTTTGGCGCGGTGTTTCAGTCATATTCAATGAGTATATTTCGGGCGGTAATATGGTGTTAAAGCTATGAGTCATGTAAGATCCCACTTAAAATCTATAGATGTTGGAATGATATCCATGGTTAGCCGCAGCCATGTGCAGTAATTCAGCAGTTGATGATTGAAAGCAAAGGTCAACACACTGGACAGAGTTCAATCAATCAGTGATCATGAATTAGATAGAATAAAATTTTTGCTTTGAAACTAATCGTGTCAAAACCCGAAAGGTGTTTTTGTTTTTTTTCCTCAGTTGAAGTTCATGGTTCCTTTCATCAAGACAATATGGAGAGAAACACCGCACCCTTAATTCATTCGTCGGCTTTTGCAGAGTTTAGTTACTCGTTTAGTTGTGAAGTTCAGGAGCGCCAGCTCGAGACCATGGCACCGTTCCCAAGTGCGGTCGGGTGGTGGATGTTTTTCTTCGCACCGTCCTCCTTTTGTAAAGTTTTTGCGTGGATTTGCAGGAGTCCCCACATATATTTTGACGGATATCTATGATTGTCAATATAGATCAACCAAAAAAATCAAATTACTTTACTTCGTGTGATCCCCACCATGACATTTATACATTTTCTTACTGGCAAATCTTCTGGCATTCTATCTGACATATCTTCTGACATTTGGCATTCTATCTGGCATATCTTCTGGCATATCTGGCATATCTTCTGGCATTCTATCTGGCAAATCTTCTGGCATTCTATCTGGCATATCTTCTGGCACTCTATCTGACATATCTTCTGGCATTCAATCTGGCATTCTATCTGGCATATCTTCTGGCATATATTCTGACATATCTTCTGGCATTCTATCTGACATATCTTCTGACATATCTTCTGGCATATATTCTGACATATCTTCTGGCATATCTTCTGGCATATCTTCTGGCATATCTTCTGGCAAATCTTCTGGCATTCTATCTGGCATATCTTCTGGCATTCTATCTGACATATCTTCTGGCATTCTATCTGGCATATCTTCTGGCATATATTCTGACATATCTTCTGGCATTCTATCTGGCATATCTTCTGGCATATATTCTGGCATATCTTCTGGCATTCTATCTGGCATATCTTCTGGCATATATTCTGACATATCTTCTGGCATTCTATCTGACATATCTTCTGGCATATCTTCTGACATTCTTTCTGACATTCTTTATAACTTTCTTCTGCACATTCTTTGTCCCATATCTTCCTACATGAGGTCCGGCAGGGAACACTTGGCGTGGATACTCGCGGTTGAGGTCCGGCAGGGAACACTGGGCGTGGATGGTCGTGGTTGAGGTCCGGCAGGGAACACTGAGCGTGGATGGTCGTGGTTGAGGTCCGACAGGGAACACTGGGCGGAGATGGTCGTGGTTGAGGTCCGGCAGGGAACACTGGAATGGATGGTCGTGGTTGACGTCCGACAGAGAACACTGTGCGTCGAGGGTCGCGGTTGAGCAGGAGGAGGCGGAGAGGAGAGGAGACGAGGAGAGGAGAGGAGAGGAGAGGAGGAGAGGAGGAGAGGAGGAGGAGGAGGAGGAGGACGAGGAGGAGGAGGACGAGGAGGAAGCAACTGACATAAAATCTAACAACCCTCACCTGGCAGGTGGGGAATCACATAAATCAAGATGTTACCCTCTGGTAATTTAACTATAGCTATTGAAAATGGCCAATAGAAATAGTTGATTTTCCCATTAAACATGGTGATTTTCCATAGTTTTTGGTATGTTTACCAGAGATGTTAGCTTTGTGCTCTTTTTTTCAATAGATGTCTTTCCCATGTTGGAAGCTGAGCTGCCATTGGGCTGATCGCCTGGAGACGTCCGATTGAGTCTTTCACCGGGACATATGGGGAATAGCTGGTATGGCTGGATGTTCATCCTCATAAAAACCTGGTTGGTGGTTTGGACACATGACTTTTATGACTTTCCATATCTTGGGAATGTCATCATCCCAACTGACGAACTCATATTTTTTCAGAGGGGTAGGTATACCACCAACCAGAAACGGTATTTACAGGTATTGATCCATAGCATTCCATAGCTACATATACTTTGCCCATGCGTTTTGGTTTGAAAATGGGGCACCAAAAAAAAGGACAATGAAGACGGCGAGTTTGGAGTTTATGAACCGGGGGGGGCCTACCGCAAATCCCAGATGGAGGACGTGTGCAATTTTTGGACGTTGCAGCGTCTTATAAAGGAGGTGGCTCCGACCACCGTGCCCTGACGACTAGCGCATCTCAGGGGTCCCCAAGACAGAACAAAAAAGGGAGGGAGGAGTTCGTCCACGTTTGTTACAACATTTTTCAGCTCAATGTTTGGTGAAAAACAAGATTCTTCGATATAGTGCTCCAAATGCCAACTGTTCGAAGCCATCTACAATAGAACCCAAAAGGTCCCCAAATACGTCTCAGAACGTGTTTTGGAGCTGTTGGGATGAATAACAGCTCAGCTGTTGGCCACTGAAACTCTTAGGATGACGGTATAGCGGCTGCTTCTTAAACACATTCCGTTTGAATAAGTTGGCATTTTCCTGAAAACAAATAACAAAGTGAGCAGCATGGGATAGGGTTCAACCAACACCAGGGGGGATCATTCATGATTAATGATCCATCATGTATATTACCCTCTGGTAAACTAACATAACTACGGAAAATAACAATTTTTAATAGGAAAATCCACTATAAATTGCCATTTTCAATAGCTATTTTGACATACCAGAGGGTATCATTTTCCGAAACCAGGGGAAATGAACGCAGGAGATCGCC